TCCAAAATCCTCTAGGGGGAGTGCCACCAGAGTTCAGAAAAAAGAAGGAAGTTTTTCCGCCATTTAAAGTCCCTATAGTCCCAGTCCAAAAGCTCTATAGTCCCGGAGCAAAAGAGAGGTTCCCCAGAGCTCTTTTTAAATTTAACAAAGTTTCAAGAAAGGTGTCTGCAACAGTGTCAAATCCAGTCTATTATGCTCAAAAGTAACACAGTAACAGTTTCCGCAGTTTGACAGTTCACTCCTGTCTGGCAGCCCAGCGATCTGGCTCTTTGTCTTTTGTAATCCACAACAAGAAGATAGCTCCAATTTAAAGTCCTTTTAGCTTAAAAAAGGTTCTATTCTTTTCCTTTTAGAAACCAAGTCCATGAACGCACGAAAGCCCCAACTTTGACAGCTCCCTTTTAAAGCGCTTCCCGCTTCTCAAAGTCTTTGCTTTGATCTTGCTAGCAAGGTCGGGAGACGGACTTCCTTTTTCTCGTCTCCCGTTTTCAGCCAAATTCAACAATTTAGTTTCCGAATTAATGCCCCTTACTCACGGGTATGTTGATTGCAGCCTGATGTTTTCGGGAAGAAAGGTCGGCGCTCATCAGTAACAGCCGTGCGGCTTCGCTTCCGCGGAAAGAGCGATGAACTCACAGCACCGCAACTCCTTCAACACTCCGGAGCCCCTTACGGGGTTCCTTCTGCGTTTTCGGGGTCGCTTCTGGTGCCCGCCGAGTCCCACGGCCACGGGCTCACTCTACCCGTGGTTTTTCTTAGTGGGTCGCCGCTATGCCGCAGCGTGCGACCCTTTTCCGCGGAGCCCCTCTTCAGAGAACGAAGAGGACCGCCATTACAGTTTCGCGCCGCCTCCGGAAGTTACAGTAGTCTTAAAACTGAACTGTAAAAGACAGTATTCTCTGATGATCTGTCTTTCTGTCTGTCTATACATACTGGGCCTGAACCTGTACTAGTTCACTGTACGGCCACTGGTTGCCATATGTCCTCTTTTTCCAGGACACGTCCTCCTTTTCATGGGTGTCAGGGGCTGGACTGAGGAGGTATGGTGGGAACCACCCTCCCCTCTTCCTGCACCTTCCCGAGAAGAGGAGGAGAGTATAGCTTTAGAACAGTAGTTTGCAGAAGGTCATAGTTTGGAGGCTGCACAGAGGAGAAGCTGGGAAATATTGGGAGAGCAGCAGGAAGAAGAAGAAGAAGAAGAAGAAGGGGAGATACAGCTACCAGACTCAGTATTTTTTGAAAGCCCCCCTCTCCCAGAACAATGCATGCCTTGAGAGTAGTAGAACAGAAAGCTCAGAGGCAGAAAGCACAGATCTGTCGGCGCAGGGGTGACATATAATAGGAGGGACTGAGAGGGTGGGATTTTACTTGGAGCAAAGCCATTCTCTAGGAGAGACCACATTCCTTTGTCTCTCTCTCTGTGAATATTGAATAAACTACTTGGTAAGAACTCTTCTGGTTTATCTGCTTCTTGGCATCCCACAGTGGAAAGGATAGGATTCCCTGAAGCCTTGACAATGGGTAGAATCATCATAGCGAATGAAGCCAGCAAATGTCTCCTCTTTTTTGTTCTTCAAAACATTGCACCCTACAGTGATCGTAGGGCTTTGGATGTGGGGCAACTTCCATGGAATCTTCATGCTTTTCAGGGGGGTGGGGTTTCTCTTCTATCTTTACAATTCCATGATTCCATCTCCCTCCATAGGATTGCTCTACCCATTCTCCATCTGTAATATGGCACCAAAGGTGCCCACCATACTTATTGGTTGTGAGCTTTCATGAGATATAAAGCACATTTATTATTCTTACAGAGATCGTTTTTATAGCAAGAATCTTAATGGCTTGGGGAAATGGTAGCAGGTGCAAACTAACCTAAAACTACCTTCCAGATTCACTGACATCGTTGAATGTATTCTGCGCTGTTGCTACTGGTGAGGGACCCTGTTTGCTTGTTTCTGCTATACAGTGGTACCTCTGGTTGCGAATGGGATCTGTTCTGGAGGCCCATTCACCACATGAAAAGAGCACAACCTGAAGCGCCATATCTGCGCAGGTGCGCGGCGCGATTTGGTGCTTGGGTGCATGTGCGAAGCTTGATTGAGCACTTCTGTGCATGCGTAAGCGGCAAAACCCGGAAGTAACCCTTTCCGGTACTTCCGGGTCACCCTGGGATGTGACCTGAAAGAACGTAACACGAAGCAAACATAACATGAGGTATGACTGTAATAATGGAAGGGCTTTTTAAATTATATTCTGCTGACACAAGCCAGTTGCATACATTCAAGCGGGCAGCACGGAGAGTTTTAAAAGCATCCTGTTTACAGGCCTGATGCAAAACGATCACTGTTCATTACACTGCCCCATTTGTAGGGTGTTATTGGGCTCATCTGCGAAAGCCAGACAGCAGAGATCTGATCGCGTCTCTTCAGTCATTGCTATTAGACATTGAGTGTGCTTCTGTCAATTGCTAGCATTGGCCATTGTGAGAGAGATGGGAGGCACAGTTTAGCATCTGCTAGGCAGGGGAATGCAGGCTTGAGTGGGATCTTAATAGACAATGTTTGAAAGTTTTTTTCATTTTTAGAAAACCACACTATTACTCGAGATCAATGAACTTAGCATACCAAAATAAAATTCCAGCACTCTTAATGACGAAACATAGTCAGAATGTTTAGTGCACTGGGAATCATTTTCATGCATTTTTAGCAACCCTCCTGTGTGAACAAAAGGAGTGTTGCAATACCCGAAAAGGGTGAGATATCTGTACCAGGTGAATGGCAATCAGTGCCCCTGGTTTCTGAGCAGTTGGTGATAGTTGTTGTTGTTGATGATGATACAAGTTGAGTTTGGTGTCCAACCCTTAATTTTGTATGAAAAGTTAACTCAGCTATTTGGTACAGCTGTGAAGTAAACAGCACAATGTTTATCCACTCAAGACAGAACAAACACCACAATGTTTATTCGCTCAGGACAGAACAATGCAGTACATTTGCATTCTCCCTCCCTATGCTTTTGATACTTGAGAAGCAGGCAGTCATGTTTTCTCCTGAATTTCCTGCAAGAGATAGCAGCTGTGGAGTTTATTTCGTATCCTATGCCGTGTGTCCCATTGGTCTTTAATTGTGGTGAGAGGAACAGAGCGAGGGGGAAGGGACACATTCATTAACCCATTTCTTTAATCCTGCGGTCGATAAGAATCCTGCGATCGACCAGGATCATCCGGGAATCTACCTGTTGATCACAGTTGACTGGTTGTACATATCTGATATATATCAAAGAGAAAAAACTACAGAGAAAAATAAAGATACATTAATAATAATCCTCATATGATCCTCATAAAACACAAATTATCAATACATCTCTGTATTCCTTGGCCACCATTTTATCTTAATCTTCACACATACAGAGAGTTGAATCTTCCCACCTCCCACCTGGGAAAGTTCCTCCTTCCTGTGTCTCCCATTCTGACCTTCCTCTCAAGCAGGACCCTTCCTCTTCTCTCTGTCAGCTTCCTTCATTTATCACAAATATATCACAAATTTAAGACATTAAGACATCTATCCTGACCAGAGACGAATGGCTAATGAAGATGATGGACTACGCCAAAATGGTGAAAAGGACCGGGGGAAATCAGAAACCAGGAAGAGAGAAACTTTTAATAAGGAACGGGAGAAATTTACAAATTATCTAAGAGAACACTGTAAACAACTAAAAACTTGGGCAGGATTTGAGTAATGCTTGTAATGTACTATATGAACTAAGGTAAAAATGGATTGTTTTAAGAAAAATAGAGAAAATCTATGATGCAGTTGAAAAAGATTGAAAATGGAAACCATGGAAGGGTCTAGGGAGGTCTAAGGATTCAGGTATTCCTAAATGTTGATGATTATGTCTAATGTTTGGATTTAAATGTGTAGTGTAAAACTGAATAAGTAAACAAACAAATAAGTAAATAAATAAACAAATGACGTTTAAGACATCTAGTTAATCAGATCCTCTTCAAGGAGGGTACGCATTGTGCTCGGGCCCCCAGGCACCTCCCACCTCCTGTGTGAGTATGGCTATGCCTTCTCCACTCTGGTTGGTCATTTTGCGGTCATGTGGTCCTTAAAGCCAATGGCTTGACTCGGAGGGTGGCCGCGAAACATTATTTAATCCCTGTGCGATGTTTGCTGGACCTCTTTGGCTTCATGCAGCGGATCACCCGCCCACCCGCCCCCTTTATCTGGTGTGTTGGCCTTGCTATGGACATTGTTGGTCTCCTGTTTTGCAATGGGGGCAGGGTAGGAATTTTTCTATCTGGCAGATTGGCAGAGCCATTTGATTTTCGCCTACCGCCATAGCAATCGTCACAACTTTGTAAGGTTTGGTGGTTAGGCATTCAATCAGCAATGTGTGGGGAGGGAAGGTACGGCTCCAAGCTCAAGGATATTCCATTAAAGGAATTCGGGGTGGGCCTGGGTCTTGTCCAAAACCCCACGGTAGGGGCTAGGGCCATACCAGGACCCCACGGGGGCACCAGGGGTGAGCTTGAGCAGGTTCGCATCGGCAGGGCTCCCTCTGGCAGTGTTTCACCCTTTTATCAGATTCCTCGCGATGCAGGTGGGAGTCTGATATAGTTTGGATGATTCCAATGCCTAAGCGATACCACTCACATTCTGTATTCTATAAAGTTGTGGCCTAAATTTTACCCAGTAACTTAAACTAAAATCCCGCGTCACTGCGTCTTCATTTTTGGGCAAGGAGCCTTTACCTGCCCTGTTTGGAGATTGAATGCAGGATTCGGCACAGAGGGGAAGAGATCCAGCACTGACCTCTAGCCGTTTTCAAAACAATTATACACACAAACATACTCAGTTTGCTAGTCCAACCAGTATGGTCCTGGTGTGGGATCCCCGCCCGCCCCCGCCCCCATTTGACAGAAGGAGAGACTGAAAAGGCTAGAAAGAAATGTTTTATTGTTATTTCAGAAAGCAAGGCTTAAGAAAAGACAACCAGGGCTGCATAACACTGACATTTTTATTAGAATTCTTTTGTAACAAATGGAACTTGTGTCAGCAAATAACTGATTTTCATACAGACTTTCTTTCGCCACCAATGTAACGAAGTAAGAAAATAAAAAGCACGCCTTTCATTCTGTAAAACATTTACGCGTACTACTAATTAGAGGTAATTGTATTTTTTTTTAACAAGCCATTTTACAAGGTAATTTTTTTATTTTGATTTTTTTTGTTTTTGTTTTCAGTCTAGGCATCCAAAACGAGAGCAAAGAACACAACTTGTATTATCTTTGTAAAGACACTCCAAGCTTGAATGGCAAAGCCACGTAACAAGATGGATGACGGGAGCTGCAGCCTTCTGATATTCTGTTGGGAGTATCAGGGCACTCGAAAACGAAAACGAAAAGAGAGATCACAAAACCATAAGAGGAGCGGGGGAGAAAATAAAATTTATAAGGAGGAGGGAACTTGCATCTTGTTGTTGCCCCTGCAAACACCCTCCCCCCCTTTAAACATGTTTTGTGTTATTTACATACACACAAGTGGATTTTCATAAGCAGTTTTCCTTACAGATGGGTTCAAGTAATAATACTATTGGGTGTAGAATCAATAGGGCAGTGCATAGTACAAAGGTATAGAAAGTGCAAATCTCCCTAGAGTAACCCCTTCCTTCCCCCAGCCATCCTTGCCAACGTCTAACCATGCAAACCAGGTTTTTTTTCTTTCTTTTTTATTAAAAAAAGGAGCTAAAATAAAAGTTCTGTACAAATAATTTTTTATATATTTTGCGTATTTCTCCATTGTTAACTAATTACAAAATTATACATAACTACACATACATAGGTAAATAATAGCACCGTACTGGTTATGCTGATGAAACCGAATTCTGAGCTTGGTAAATGGCAGATAATGACACCTACTAATTAAAGAGAGAGAGAGAAAGAGAGAGAGAGAGAAATCACTGCACAGCAAAGATACAGAAAATGGAATGCACATCAATGATTTGGAGAGAGTTCCTCATTAGAAGCAACTCCTGAATAGCAGTTTTGACGGGAATATGTGCGGCTATTTCTTCCTCTTCTTGTCACGTGAAAACGTTCACCCCTCACTAGTGATTTCATACAACGCTTTTTTTGAATAAATCAAATGATTTTTGTTTTTGTTTTTTGCAGAAAAAAGGCCAATTGTTTTCATGAGCAACTGGCCTGCCTAGTGTATGTCTGCACATGGATTTTCTTTTTTTATGCTCTTCCGTGTACATCCTGACCTCACAAGCCGCATGACCCCCCATGCGCAGTCTGCAGTGACCACTGCAGATTTCTATACAGAGCAAGGACGCACTTGAACGCCATGCAAAATGGGGTTGTTGTCATCGGCATTTTGTCACGCACTTCCAATCTTGCGCTTACAAGTCCAGAACACAGAAAGGTCCTGTGCAGACATGTCTTTCCTCTATGCTTCTAAAATGTAGCATTTTTTCCCACTGTGAGTGTCTGAAAACGGGTACTTTTGGCTAAAAGCATGAGTTCGCTGCATAATCTGGCACTTTAAAAAATACTATTTCGACAGAAACAAATAAAAAACAAAACAAAAGGAAACATATAGTGCACATTCTTCTCTGATTCTGATGTAAGTTAGAGAATCTCATTCTGAGGTAGCCTTCTATAATACTTTATTATTATTATTATTATTAATTATTATACATATATATGCTTAATTCCCCCCATTTTTGCATTTTTATATATAAAAGTGCTCAAATAGAATGCTTTCTAGTGTTTGGTCTTTTAATATATTTATTTCTGGTAGCGATGGGAAACATGGAAAAAGAGAGAGAAAGATCAACTAATCACTTCCTTGGTGATCCTTTTTTTTTTTTAAACCACATTTAAAATAATTCTTTTGATATTTATGTTCCAACATGGTGCTAGGCTGAACCCAGACCAATGCAAGAGCAAATGGCTTCCATTATAGTGCCTCAAAATGTTTTGTACCGTCCACAATGAGGGGGTCATATATAATCTTCCTTACATTTACGCCCTCTGTCCGCTTGCCTGACCCAGCTTATTTCAGGAGGCCTTTTAGCCTGAGTAAAGTGAACATGCTTTGGCCTCCGGTGAAAATTCGTGTGCATGGATATGACTCAAGACCCATTCTAATCGCTGCTCCGATGTCTATTAAGGGGTATCTACCTTCTCTTTTCAGCATGGTGCTCCTGGCTTCTGATAACCAATGCAATGGTTACGAAAGCAGACTGGGAGGACTCGCACCCGGATAAACAGCCCCTGACTACCCAACTGCTTGGGATAAACATGGATTAATATTTAACACCAGGAATGCATATTCTTAAAAGACCTCTTTGTACATGTGTTGAAAAGCTAATGCTTTTTAATCGAAGAAAGGGGTTTGGGGGAAGGGTGAGACAGAGAAATGTGAGTTCAACTAATGCAAATACAGACGGAACAAAACTCGAAGAAATGCTATCAAAATAGGCATCAAATATAAGGCACTCTAAATGTAAAAATTAAAATTAAAAACCCCCAGCATTTTCCATTAATGCTGTACGCCACAAAAAGAGTTCTGATTCAACAGAGCAACATGAGTTTGGCTTTGCCCCATTATACATCGTCAATGCACATGTCCTACCGTATACTATAGACAATTATACAAGTGAATACATTTTTAAAACATCTTGACAACTATTATATTACAACATTCTCCCCTCCTAAGGGAATATGCACTGACCTTTCCCACATGCACACTTCCTATATTTAGTATGGTTTGTTTATTGCACTAAGGTGTTACACTAAGGTGTTTTTGTATGTGTGAGATGCGTGTACATATGATTTCCATCCTTTTTTTCCTTTTTCTTTCTTTTCTTTTTTTTGGGGGGGTAGGACTGAGTTTCAAGTATCACTGATGTGCATTCCTCATTTCCCCTGGAAAACAGACAACAAAACAAAAGCCCTCAAAGCAAAACAATGAGATGCAGACATGTTCAGAAATATTGTATGGACTGAATGTAGCATTTTGGATTCTCCTCCCCTCCTCCACTGCTTCAATAAATCCAAGTCATGGAAGAACTGATATGCGATATATGCATTTCTGTCTATCTATCTACGTGCATAATTGTAGATTGATAGAGAGACAATAGTAGAGATATACATATATTTATAGATATAAAGAGAAAGGTGTGTGTGTGTGTGTGTGTGTGTGTGTGTTAATAGCAGCTTTATACTTTGCGCTTCCCTGTTGATTCCAAAAGAAACAAAAAACAAAACCTTCCATATGTATATTAACTGATTTATATTTCATATTTTTTTAATAATAATAATAAAAAATCAAAATGTAAAAGCAATTATCTAAATGAGAATGTGGTCCTGGAGATAAATATAGGGTTGCACAAAAATGTGCAATTTTTCAAATTATTTAACATTTCTACAGCGAGATATTACAGGTAACAGTTCTACAGCATAAAAAAATCTACAATTCTGAAACAAACAAAAAATAATAATGAACAGTTATGCAACTTTTTCCCCTCCAAATTCACTTCATTGAATGATAAACTTTTTGTTTAAAATAAAAAAAGGAAAAAAGTTTACACAGTTAAAAATGAAGCACAGGTCAGCAGTATCTTTACAATACTAAAAAACTAAATCAAGGACTTTCTTTTTAAACATTCGCCCTTTCCCCTCCCACCCCCCAAAGTGTTATTTATGAGCAATATGGTAGGAAGGGGAGATGCTGAAGCAAAGAGTTCGTCTTTTCTCAGAGCAGCCAGGTACTGGCCCTTGGACAAACATCTCGCACCGAATTGCAGGACTCCCAAGTTCCACGTTGTTAACTATCATGCAATCCTGAACAAGATGATGGTTCTTTGCAGAATTTGCTCTTCCCTTTAACTTCAACCAAAGCTGAATCCTTGAGGTATCTGTAACATGAAATCCTTCAGATGCCTCAACCAGTCTGGATTCTTTTATTATGTTTCTGGTAAGGTTTATTGAACTGTGAATTGTTGGTCCACCTGGAACAGTTTTTTGTTTTTTGTTTTTGTTTGTTTTCCTTTTAATATTTCCCCACTAATTGGTCTTTAGTTAGGAGTTAAGAAGTACTTCTCAAGCACACTGTATGGCTCAGAAGAGGCTCTCTGGATCTTAAAGGGCCTGCAGTTAAAAATCCAGGACGGTCAGGGATTTTGTTTTACGTTGCATAGTGATCAAAGCTGCCCAGGTATTCTAGTGCGGCTCGATAGCAGAACTGATATTGATCCTTGGGGGAGAAAGAGAGAAAGAGAAGTTAAGATAAATTCATTTGCTGCTTTCGGGTTACAACACCGCCAATTTCTTACCCCTGAATGGTTAACAGAACTGGAAATGGTTGTGAGCTGTGCTGTTCTCCCTTCTAGGAGAAGTTCTTTGCTCCTTTATCTTGCCAGCTGCAACCATGGTTTCATGTTACTTCTACACATATACTAAGCAGAACACCCACACCTTAACCAGGTTTTGGCACCAGCTGTGCTTCCCTGGCAAGTCTGGGATCCTTGGCATGTGTACCAGGCAGAGTGGCACCCGCCCTGTGGAACGCCCTCCCACCAGATGTCAAAGAGAACAACAACTACCAGACTTTTAGAAGACATCTGAAGGCAGCCCTGTTTAGGGAAGCTTTTAATGTTTGATGCATTACTGTATTTTAATATTTTGTTGGAAGCCGCCCAGATGGGCGGAGTATAAATAATAAATTATTATTATTACTATTTTACCTGTACAATAATATTTCTACAATTTCTGTTGTGGCTTGTATGGACAAGAGAAAATGAGCAGGAAGCTCAAGAACTTTTGTTTCCTGCAAATAAAAGATTCAGATATCTTAACTGTGTTTAGTTCCAAGCCTATATGGCTTTGCCAGAGAGGTCTTGGTAATTCTGGCTTCTTTGCAACAGATTGGTGGCATGTGAGATGACCTTCTCTTCTGTGGACCCTGGACTTTGGAATTCCTTGCTTTCAGTTGTCCATCTAGCCCCAACTTTGGGCATATATCCAGAAGATATGCAGAGGCACAGCTTTTGGCCCCAGCTTTCAGAAATACGGTGACTGTTCAGCCTACTGTTACTGATTTTACTGGTTGTGCTGTCATTGTATTTGTTTGATATTGTATTATATTACTTTATGATTATTTAATCCACCCAGGGTATTTTAGTGCAGGGAGGGCAATAAGTGCACTTAATAAATTGCTGCTGTTTCCTAAATCAATTATTGCTACTTAAGTGCTTAGAAGAAACCTCATGTACCAGTTTCTGTTCCCATGGAAGTGGGGAGCAATAACTCCTCGTGCGCCATGAGCAATTCTTGGAATGCAAGCTCCTCCCAAAAAATAAAAATCAGCAGTAAATCTAACAAAGGTTTAAAGCAGGCATAGGCAAACCCAGCCCTCCAGATGTTTTGGGACTACAACTCCCATCATCCCTGACCACTGGTCCTGTTAGCTAGGGATGATGGGAGTTGGCAAAGTATTGGAAGACAGAAGACCTACCCAACGTGGAAGAATGGCAGATGAAGGTGATAGATTATATGGGACTGGCAGAAATGACCGGCAGAATCCGAGACCAGGGGAGAGAGACGGCGGAAGAAGATTGGAAGAAATTTAAGGACTATCTTAAAAAACATTGTAAAATTATGGAATGTTAGAACGATGTTGGTTTAGAAATTAAGTGGTTTCTAGCTGTAATGATTATGTAATTATGAAAAGAAATGTTGAAAATCAATAGAAATTTGGGGGGGGGGATTTGCTGAATTAAATAATTAGAAATTGGAATACAGAAAGGGGAGGTATGAGGAGGTCGGGAAAGTAAGGAATTAAGAAAATAAGGGATCGAAATTATACTTGTTGTCTGTGTTTGTATTTTTGTTCTTTTTATTTTATATATATATATTTTGAAACTTCAATAAATATCTTTTTTTTAAAAAAGGGATGATGGGAGTTGTAGTCCCAAAACATCTGGAGGGCTAAGTTTGCCTATGCCTGGTTTAAAGAGCAGGAGCAATAATTTCTTGTACACTGTAATACCAGGACTGCTTTGCTATGGGGTTAATATATCCATGTTGCTTTGGAAAATGTGTAAATCAGGCCTAAGGTCTGTCTTAAAGGTGTATTTTATTCCAATGATTGCTAGGAGCTGTGCTGAATGTTGTGGTACATAACTGCTTCACAAGTTTTTTATATATGAAGGTCAAAGTATATCCATAATGAGGCAAAAGAAGAAGAATATTATTTTTTTAATAAACAGTTTAAGAGAAGGAACATCAAATCATCCAAAATGCAAACTTGCAAATTTTATTTTATATGTGTGTGTAAGTATTTGTTTCTAGGAACTAATGGGACATAAAGACATTTTTCATCTGCAATAATACTAGTAATAGAAAATAAATGGGTTTTACTCTTCAGTTTTGTCTGAGTTATTAGGATCAGTGAGAGGGGGAAATGGCCCAATTCCATTCTAAATAACTTTGTTTTAAAAGTTGCTAAAACTGTAGTGTTGGACTACAAGCCTGCAGTCAAAGATTTAGGAGCTATGTCCTTATCAATGTTTAAAACCCAACATCCTGTGCTCACACCTGGCCCACAGACTCCCAAATCCATCCAACCTGCATTGTTAGAGCTCCTCTCGCCCCTGGAAAGTGGTGTGCTTCCTTTTCACCCCCTTTTCTCTCTGGTGTTCAAATTGCTGCATGTGTGCTTCCCGGGGCCGGATTTAGGTTTGATGAGGCCCTCAGCTACTGAAGGTAATGGGGCCCTTTATATGTCCAGCTGTCCTTTGTCAACAACAAATTGCTGCTGTATTTGCGTGTGTTGAATATATAGATAAAGGTAAAGGGACCCCTGACCATTAGGTCCAGTCATGGCCGACTCTGGGGTTGCGGCGCTCATCTCGCTTTACTGGCCAAGGGAGCCGGCGTACAGCTTCCGGGTCATGTGGCCAGCATGACTAAGCCGCTTCTGGCGAAGCAGAGCAGCACACAGAAACGCCATTTAGCTTTATTTTCTTTATTTTATACGCCATTTATTTTCAGTGTCAGAGCTGAACCCAGAGAACATATACACACTCTCTTCCACAAACAGAGTGTCCTCCAGGTTTCTCCTCTCACTCCCTCTTTTCCAGCTCCAGTTCCAGGGTCAAATGAGTTCTCCTGAAGAAAGGCAATAGCTGCTTGGCAGGACATTTGATTGTCCGTTCCATTCTTTCTCTCTTTCTGTGGCTGAGAAAGGGAGAGGAGCCAGCAATGGCTTTTTATCAGGGGCTGAATAAATAGGGAGGCTTATGGGAGAGCAGTAAGAGAATATCAAGAGGATATTTTTTATTTTATTTTTTTAAACTCTCTCTCTTTCTCACACACAGAAAAACAACCAACAATCTTCCCTTCTGCTATTACAACCAGTCACTGGACTGCAAGCAAATGCATTTCCAGCTGGATGAATGGGTCTCTGCAATGGATATCAATTTTGTGTGTGTGGGTGTGGGTGTGTACACCTTTTTGTGTTTTTAACTTCCACATCTTTTGGTATTTTTACTGTACATCGCCTTGAGATGCTTGTGTGGAAAGGAATTCATTCCTACTCCTATTAGTTCAATTGATTAGGGTTTTCTGCCACGGCAACTCAAAGGGACTTACAACATTTGAAGAAAAACAAACACACACATGCATACATTAAAACCAGCAAAAATAAAAATAAATGTTCCTACTAGATTAAAACAGCCCACCCATGAAAAAATGCCCTGGAACATGTTCTGCTTCCAAGGCAAAGTCCACAAACCAAAACACCTACTTCTGGATTTGCAGTGTTCTTAATCCAAGTTGTTCAAAAAATAAGCTGTTCTTAAACCAAGGTACCAGTGTACATATATATATAGCTGTAGAATAAGTGGAAGAATGACAAGTTATTCTTACCTCTGTCTGTACCATGGCTGGCCGTTGCGTCCTTAACATTTTGACAGTCTGGAAGATATCTACAACACCTTCATATCTCATTCTTTCCAACACAATGCTCAGGGTTATGAACACTCCGGTCCTTCCAACACCAGCACTGAAGAAGGGAAAAGGGAAAGTGAATAATTTGGCTGACTGCTGAGCTGCAGAAACAGTATGTCATATGCACACAAACCTTCGATGCTCCATAAATATCTTTACACGGCAACTGTAGATTGCAAGGTGATCGTTATTTGACAAGCTGAAATGGATTTGGAAATGAAGTGTTGGATATTGCGGAATGATCTGAAGGGATTCTGAGCTTTTAACCAAATACAGAATGGCCATTATAAATAGAAACCACAACACTTATAAATGTTTGTTCCAAACGTGTTCTTTCCAACAAACAAACAAAAAGCAAACTTGTTAGTCCAATTGCAATAGCGGGATAAAACTATTTTCATTAATATGGCAAAGTCTAAAGAATCAATGCAATAAAGGATTGGAATCATCTGGCAAGGGCACCTTTTCTCATTTTGGTTAAAATATTTGTGTTATTGGTTGCAGACCACAAATTTATGCCACAGAGAAACAGCCTTCCTGGTTGCCAAACTGAGGGAATGGCCTGGCTGCTGTAGAAAATTGTAACGGTGGCTAACGAAAGTCGCCTGTAACGATTGAAACACATAGGGATAAATTGAGAAATGGATGCTCCTTCTACTTCATTTTTCTTATACAATCTAGAAAAGCATTTAGTATACATAAAAATCTTTGGGATGGCTTTTATTGCAGGAGGGGGCAATCCTATTATGAAAAGCAGCTCAGTATGATTATCGTCCCCTTACTGTAGATGGTGATGATGATGATGATAATTTATTTATACCCTGCCCATCTGGCTGGGTTTCCCCAGCCACTCTGGGCGGCTCCCAATAGAATATTAAAAACACGATAAATACATCAAACATTAAAAACTTCCCTAAACAGGAAGATGGGAGACATCCCTAAACAGATGGGAGAATGGGGTGAGATTTGAACTCAGGACCTCCTGGATTACAGCACTCAGGGGCAGAAGAAGGTGGTGCGGTGGGGGCAGGCCGCCCCGGGTGTCACCACTGAGGGGGTGACAAAATGTCGGGTGGCACTCAGCACGGGGCCTGCAGCACGCGCAAGCCACACATCTCTCCTGGGAGTGACGCGGTGGCTTGGGCCCTGCAGGCTCTGCGCTGCCCTAAACGGTCTGTCCGCTGCCTCCCCCCCGCCCCAGCTGTAGGGCGACTGAGTGGGAGGAGGCAGGCAGACTCACTGAAGGTCCTGCAGCGTGTCTTGCCCCGGTTTGCTCCGCCCCCACAGGCCGCTGGCCCCGCCCCTGGATGCAGGGCACGTGCGCCACCCCAGGCGCCCAATCGGCTTGCTCCGCCGCTGACAGCACTATACAACTTCCACTCTTAATTTGCTTCCCGCCAGCCCAAATTACCATTCTGTCAAATCATTTCATCAGTTTTCATCTCATCAATGGCATCTGTTACTTACCTACAGTGAACCGAGATTGGCCCATCTTGCCCAAACTGCTCTTTTGTTTTATGAACTTGGCCTATGAAATCGATAAACCCTTCTCCCGACTTTGGCACTCCTTGTTCAGGCCAATCGGTGAACTGGAACTGCCTCACCGTCCGAGACTGGCCGTCCTTGAATGAAATACACACAAATAGGATATGCAACGCAGTAAGGCAGAAAACAAGGTATTTTTTTTGGGGGGGGGGACTAACTAGCAAAGGGAAAAATAATCCACAATGAGGAAAAGGAGTGAAAACCCTTCTGAGACAATGCTGACGAGGCTTGTGTTTTCCTTGTTGTTTTGCAGTTGGCAAAACCACACTGACATAAGAATGCAATTTCACTGACCGCAGTGATGCTCAAATTGCTCCCTGCATTGGAAAGGATGTTCTCTGACATTTAAATCCTGGAAAAACAGAGTCTTTAAGGGACAAGGAAACTGTGAGCTAGTTAAGTGGGACTTTCCCCTTCTTTCTGGTGCAATGGAAGGCATTGGCATGGCTGCAGCACCAACAAAACCCAAATTCTCTTTATAGGTAACTAAACGCCTCTGGCTTGGCTAATAGATTCTTCTTCCCTAGCACTCTTTCAAATGTGTCCCTCTCTTTTCGTAGGAAAGCCATCTGTAAGGCTGCATCTTTTGCCAAGGGGGACTGGAAAGTGCTCATTCATGTATTCTCATCCCTGCTAGTACCGGGTTGTGCTCGGCCACCAGGTCCCGATCCAGCCTCAGCGTGGTGTGGGGTAGGCATCATGCATCAAACTGAGGGTGACCTGGCCACACCATTTGCCAGGCGGCCAATCAGGGCACTGTGGGGACGTGGCTGGGGCCCATTTAAACCGTGGCATGATTCTGGAAGCTCCTCTTTCAGCCTCACACCACGGATCTCCCGCCCTCCCGCCCTCCTCTTAGGTAGAGTCACTGGCCTTGCTATGGACTTTGGTTGTCGCCATTGAGGGGCCTGGTAGGACTTTTTCCACTTGGCAAATTGAGTTTGGATTTGGATTTGATATCCCACTTTATCACTACCCTAAGGAGTCTCAAAGCGGCTAACAATCTCCTTCACACTCTGTGAGGTGAGTGAGGCTGAGAGACTTCAGAGAGAAGTGTGACTAGCCCAACGTCACCCAGCAGCTGCATGTGGAGGAGCGAGGAATCGAACCTGGTTCACCAGATTATGAGTCCACAATTGGCACCAGCCACTTGACTTTCGCCTACCTCGTAGCAATCACCACAACTTTGTAAGGTTTGGCAGTTAGGTACTGGAATAGCAATGTGGGGGGGGGAGGGGAGGTGCGGCCATCACCTGCCCCTCCATGCCTAAGGGTATCCCGTTAAAGGAATCTGGGGGTGTGGATCTTCTCCAAAGCCTGGGGAGGGGCTAGGGCCATGCCTTGACCCCAGCGGGAACCCAGAGGGGCTTGAGTCGATCCGCATCGGCGGGGCTCCCCCTACAGGTGGTTTACTCTTACCAGACTTCCTGCAAGGTGGGCAGGAGTCAGATATAGTCTGTTGATGCCAGTGCCTAAGCCAATACCGCTCACGTTCTTTAACCAATAAAGTTGTGGCCTAAATTTTGCTAAATTAATGGAATATGCGCAGCTTGCGGACCTAACATACAGAATAAAAGAACAGGGAGAACATAGGTTTAAAGAAGGTTGGAAAATGTTTATTGGATATATGGGGGAAATTGTGTACACTTGAAAACATTGGCAGCATTCAGATAAATTCAACGGTGTAAGTAAGTTTTGATGGATGTAATAATGGAATGCTGAACGGTTTAGTCTATATAAAATATGCAGGGATTTATGTTATGCAAAATGAGCCATGGGAAGTGAAGAAGGGAAGTCATTGACATTTTAAGGTTGTTGAAATGAATATTCTAAAATGTAAAACAGAAAATTTCAATTAAAAAATTATAGAGAATAAAGAGAATAAACTATTTTGCATCTAGCACAAAACTCTTGCAGGCCTCAGTGGCAGATTCAGACTGCCTATTTTTGTGTTTAGCGTCTTGTCTGACATTGCTGGCGTAAGTATGTGCACAATACAGCACATCACTGAAGGACCTGATCACAATTGCTGCGCTTGCTCGTTTTCGCACGTTGTCAATCTGTGCAAGCGCCGACATTTAATAGAAGTGACACAAATTGAGCTATTGCTGTTAACCTTCATGCCTTCCGGATACTTCAGACTTCCTGAATGTCTCTACTTTCCCGCCATGGTAGGAGAAAAACAGCAGATGCCATGTCACTGTGCCTGTGAGCTATAACTGTACAGGAGAGGAGGAGGCGGGGAGCTATTGCCAGATGCCAATCTCTTAAAACGGCACTTTTTTTTTTTTTTGCAGACTGAAACCAATGAATAACCTCAATGATTATGGGAATTCCGATATAGCAGCTTGGAAGCTGGAGGCAAGGGAGGTGGGGAGAATAATTATACCCCAGCCAAAGCATTCAGCTATGATTGCCTTGACATGGAGGTGAATATAGGTTGCTTAAAATAATAAACCCAAACAAAATGATAACTTAGTTGATGCTATCCCTCGAGTAGGCTTTCATTTTCTGCCAAATTCCACAGGTACATCCTTCAGCAATGACGCCTGCAGGAGGAGGAGGCGTTTACAATCACCGAAATCAGCAAAGCCCAATGAAAAATTATAGGCTTGGTTTACCCTGATGCAGACCTATAACTCATCTTGTTCATCTCAAATATTTTAAATAGCAGAGACTTCTCTTTTGCCTGATTAAAGCACTCGGTGGCTAAGTACTACAGTCATGTGGATAATTGTCAAAGACACCAGAGCCATTATTCAGTTTGTAGCATTCTGCTGAGATGTTCTTGAACCACGGAGCGCTTTTGCTTCGTTGAAAGTGCCTTTTACTTAAGAGGAAATGGCCGCAATTTACTTGAAGCGGACATGCAGCAAAGCTTGTGAAACCTGCAATGCCAGCAAGTTACTTCACAAATCGCAATCCCATTCCAACGTCACCCTTTCACTGCGAGCAACTGTGCCAGCAGAAATGTTTAGCGTCACGGTGTACTAATTTTTGTCAACTAAAAAGATCGATGGCATACGTCTCTCTTCTCAAGGTATTTTGGGTTAATAACTTAGTGCCTACTGGCTTTTGAGAAATTCCAGCACTGCGTGTCATGAAAGGCCAGAACAAGACATTTCTATCTTGCTTTAATAACTTACATGTTATTTAAGGCTGACACCAAAAAGACTGTGCGATGGCGGTAAGCTAGCCCAAAAACTGCCTAGAAATCGACTCTGCTCTTACACTACTGGTATGACGAACAGTCTGTCCTGAAATTTAACGAGATGCTCATTTATGGCAGACACTAAAGGAATGCCAAGAATATATTAACACCTTTAGATTGTATCCTCTGCAGCTACAAAGGAGTTTAGGCTTTTTAGTTACGTCTTCACTGGACAGGCAAAGCAACAACAAAGTATTGCTATTTTCATTGCATGCAAACAAACACCTTTGGGCAGCTGTCTGATTAAAACAGTTAATTGAGTCCATTCTCTGTCTAGCCCTAAGAACTAGGTGACCATCTGTGTTTCTATCTCTCCATAGATAAAATCAGATGCCTTTGAAAGAGGTTCTGCGCAGTATAGAAAGTGTTTCTCACAGATATCATTGCTATAGAAGTGCTGTGTGCAACGGCCCCATTTTGTTGACCCTGATCGTTAACACAGGATGCAAGTGCAAAGCAGAAAGTGGGAAGTAATTATGTGATACATTACACTGTAATTCATACTGGAAGTTAGGAATAAACGCAGAGCTACTTTCACCAATCTAGATTCTTCAGTTATTGTTTACGGCTCGCAACATTACATTGTTGCTGCCATTTTTGATGTGTGCAAAAAAGGAGTGAAAACAGCCATAATAAGAAGTATTGATTTTCCTTCTTATAAGTTGAGAGATGGGAATCCTGTTCCTATAGGTGTGCACAGCTTGTCCCTATAGATCTGTGCATAGACTGTCATGTGGTGCTTTCACCAGTAACTCCAATAACAACCTCAAAAGTGCTCAGTAAATAACCCTTCAGGAATCCACAGTACACAAATGTCTGTTTCCTCTTCATGCTCAGTGTTAGAAACCGAGATATGAAAGCTAGGAGCTGTTGTTGTTGTTGTTTAGTCGTGTCCGACTCTTCATGACCCCATGGACCAGAGCACGCAAGGCACTCCTGTCTTCCATTGCCTCCTGCAGTTTGGTCAGACTCATGTTTGTAGCTTCAAGAACACTGTCCAAACATCTCGTCCTCTGTCGTCCCCTTCTCCTTGTGCCCTCCATCTTTCCCAGCATCAGGGTCTTTTCCAGAGAGTCTTCTCTTCTCATGAGGTGGCCAAAGTATTGGAGCCTCAGCTTCACGATCTGTCCTTCCAGTGAGCACTCAGGGCTGATTTCCTTCAGAATGGATAGGTTTGATCTTCTTGCAGTCCATGGGACTCTCAAGAGTCTCCTCCAGCACCATAATTCAAAAGCATCAATTCTTTGGCGATCAGCCTTCTTTATGGTCCAGCTCTCACTTCCATACATCACTACTGGGAAAACCATAGCTAGGAGCTAAATGGCACCTTAAACCTAGGTTATGGGCGCAACAATGGCATATCTAGGTGTGCTTTTTTTGTAACAAGAATACAAAGCTGAAAATGAATGAACTGCAGCTAAAATATGATGTTCATTTTTCACATGGTCTAGACCTTCCCCTGCCCACCCCACTAATATTTTTAAGAGGGTCTCTTCTTCAGTTTTCAGAGAGTAGCTGGAAGTAGTGGGGAGAGGCAGAAAAAAGTACCCCTTTCCTTCCACTCTGCAGTTTTAATCTGAAATCTTAGGTGCAGTACTGCGCTCAGAGCTCAGAAGCTGCTCGCCCTAATGAAATTCCCTGTCGCAAAATGTGCCTAGAACAGGGGTCTGCAACCTTTAAGACAAAAAGAGCCACTTGGACCCATTTCCGAAGAAAAAACAACAACTGGGAGCCGCAAAACCATTGCGACATTTAAAACAAATATATCTCCGGAGCCGCGATCTGACAGCGGGCGGGAAGGTGACGTCGGGACGGTGCGTGACTAATGCACGCACCGCCCCCATGCGACGTCACAGCCAGTACAGCGCCCACCACAGTGAGGAGTGTCGGGGCGCACAATGCGCCTCCTCCCCTCGCTAGTATCCGCCCCGGAGCCGCGGCAAAGATGTAAAAGAGCCACATGCAGCTCCGGAGCCGCGGGTTGCAGACCCCTGGCCTAGAACAATGGGAGTTTCGAACACTGTTCATGCTCAGTTCCTGTCTGCATGGGTTTGGCCTCAACTACATGACACATTTTCACCTAAAACAGTCCACATTTTATTGGATACCAGAATTGGACCTCTCCTCCTTTCTGTTTTGAATGGAGGAGAGAGAGAGAGATCAAGACGGTGGCTGATTTTTTGTTTCTTTCCCCCTCATTGATGGGAGACATGCCTACTCAATTTTGTGGTTGCCTCTCTTTTTCTTCTCTTTTAAACATGGCAGCCATTTTGTGGTATGCCACACCACCATAGCAGTCATGTTTTAACTGGCACCCGTGTTGCTTCATCAAAATTCCAAATTTCCCAATGGTCCAAATAGGCTGGCACCTCCTATTTTAGAAAATATATATAGATACGATGTGCAGAATTCAACTCAAGGACAAATATCTGCCTTCACAGCTTTATTTTTTTAAAAAGAATCAAGCTTGAAACTTCTTGGTCAATGTCTGCTGGAACCCACCCCCTGGCCAAAGCCAGAATGGGATGCAAAAGAATTTCCAGCACTTGGGGTAGGGATTCAGTATCCTTTGTCATGGTGAACTTCAAGTAACCAAGTCCAAAATGATTTAGGGCTTTAATGGTCAATGCCAGCACCAAAATACACCACCAGCTAGTGTAACTGGTAAATATAGGTGTACTGTGTTGTAATTGCCTGGTGCCTGCCAGTATCTGGATGGCTATATTTTGCAATTTGAAGTTAAAGGCAGGCATGGTACTGGTTCAGTCTGAATGGCAGCTGTAAGTCTGTCCTGTTGGTAACAATGGAAGCAAAAGAGCCTAACTCTGGCTGGAGCATGCGCGATGACAACTACTATATTAGATTTTGCACTTTCAAACTCGAGTTTCCTATGATTTAACAGCTGGGTTTAGGAACTCTCCCATGTGGCTGCATTCCCTTCGTCCCCACAGTATATCTTCTTTGAGCCAACTTTTAATAGCAGCAGCAAAAAGCAGCAATCCCTTTGAGCTGAGGGAAGGTTCAGAGTTTTAGGAAGCTGAGCTAGAGTTTTTAACGGAGAGACATTTTTGTCCTTTGTACGCGCAACACTCTGTTAGGTTTCTCTAATCAACGTTATTGCTACAGGGCTTCCAAAAATGGAGACGAGTAGGGGGTTTATCCTGCCATCGAGTGTGAAGTGTTACAAATCACAGCTTGAAAATGGCTTGAGCCAGGCCTATAAAAATGTTTATATACAGTTAATCTTATATCAGCACCGAACCTCCGACTCAGCTGTTCAGATAAGGAATGCAAAATGAAAATTAGCCCGTCAGGGTCACGGCCGCGTAGCTCTTCTCTGCAGACAGATTAGAACGCCGAGGAATAAGCTATGCCAGGAATCAAATTATAATGTGTAAACCTTGTCAAGCTTCCCTTAAGAATGCCATTTGCTCTGCAGTTTTTAAATCACACCACATTAACCTTCCAGCTCACACAACCTAAAGGGCTGTTGCAAAACAACAACGTATTTAAAGCCTTAAGTGGAGACAATTCCTTTAAAAAGTATTGGGAGACGACGGATTGAGTAAGGGAAAAGGTGAATAGCCTTTTGGTCTTCTGATCAGTTAACTGTGCTCCATTACAAAAAAATCATTGGTTGGATCCAGACTTAAATAAAGATAAAGGGACCCCTGACCATTAGGTCCAGTTGTGGCCGACTCTGGGGTTGCGGCACTCATCTCGCTTTATTGGTCGAGGGAGCCAGGGTACAGCTTCCGGGTCATGTGGCCAGCATGACTAAGCCACTTCTGGCAAACCAGAGCAGCGCACGGAAATGCCGTTTACCTTCCCGCTGGAGTGGTACCTATTTATCTACTTGCACTTCGACGTGATTTCGAACTGCAAGGTTGGCAGGAGCAGGGACCAAGCAACGGGAGCTCACCCTATTGCGGGGATTTGAACCACCGACCTTCTGATCAGCAAGTCCTAGGCTCTGTGGTTAAACCCACAGCGTAAAATAGACACACTCAAATCAATAGAACTGGTAATTTATGTCTGTTACTTAAATTTGTTAAGGGGTTGGGAATTGTAGCTCTGTGAGGGGTAAACTTCAGTTCCTAGGATTCTTTGGCAGAAAAATGTGTTTTAAATGTATGGGGTATACATAACCATCCAGACCTGCTCTCCCCTCCTCTTTTTGCACAAAGTGAAATACTTGTTCACTTCTATTTTTAAGTAACTTTCATTCCCAAGAGATACACAGTTCTTTAATATCCATTGTTGGCTTGAAAATAGAATTATCAAGGTGGATACAGATCAGGCCTCCTCAACCTTGGCCCTCCAGATGTTTTGAGACTACAATTCCCATCATCCCTGACCACTGGTCCTGCTAGCTAGGGATCATGGGAGTTGTAGGTCAAAAGCATCTGGAGGGCCAAGGTTGAGGAAGCCTGATATAGATGGAAAATACAACAAGGAGGCCTCTGTTCCAATGGGAAGCTGGCAGATCTCGGACCAAGGCATAGTTTGGTTGCTGGGTACATCAGGAAACCAAGGGCAGTATGCAAGCAAACTGTAAGGATTACTGTTAGCTCAATTGGACTTTACCCTTCTCCCTCCTCTGTCCCCCTTCCCCTAAAATTCTTCCCAGCTAATTCTCCCCTGATCTCCTCTCTGGCCCAAATAGGACTAATTTAGCCAGCTAGCCCTGGTGATCATCTAATGTTTATTGGATGGATTTCCCCCCTAAATTGATTTTTGAATATATTGTTGTTCACATTTTATACTGTATTTTATGCTGTTTTTTTGTTGCATCAATTAAGTGTTTTAAATTTGTTGTTAGCCACCCGGTTTTCTGAACCGGGAAGGGCGGGGTATAAATAATTTTTTTTATTATTATTATTATTATTATTATTATTATTAACTGCTTGGAGTGTGGGTATGGAGAAAACCCTAGAATAAATCGGGGGAGGAGGGAAAGTTATGTTGTGCAAGCAAAAATCCTTGTGATGTCTGAGTGATTACAGTAAGTTAGCACAATGTTGAAAACAACCCTGAGTGCTGACATGCGGTTGGAGGGATTGGGGGAAGCAAAGATGTATCACTTTGAAGTATCAGGCAACTGGACCTACAGCAGTTCTGCTGAACTTACCCTGGCATCTGTGACCTTGAACTCCCTTAGGATGTACTGCGGCATGTTGTACTCTGCCATGGGATCCACCACAAAGTACTGATACCTGGCTGAGCGCTCTGCTGGCCAATACTGGTGGCATTTTTCCTGCAAGGAGGGAAAATAAGACAATTTGTTTGTTTAGATTTCTATGCCAATCTATCTTCCAAGGAGGTTGGAAAAATCACACTTACCGTACTTTTCCGTGTATAAGAGCAGATTTTTTAAAATTAAAAAGCAATGTTAGAAATTGGGGGTCGTCTTATACACAGATAGTGCATTGGGGGGACTTGTGATAGGTTTGTGTCGTGAGCCTGAGATTGTCAGCGGCTTGTCAGCGTGTTATTGGTGGCTGCGGCAAGGGCTGTTGATGATTGGGTGTCGCTGCGGCAATAGGGCGGGCTATCGGCGGCTTCTGGCGGCGAGGGACGCACAATTGGTGGCTTTAGTGGCGCGTGCGAGTGGCAGCGTAGTTCATTGGGTGAGCGACTTCCTTCATTCCCCCCCCCTTCCCTGACTGGATAGTTTGTTGTTCAGTATGGTGTTCTGAGAGTCGTTTGGAGTTTGTTGAGAGAGCTAGTTAAGATCTGCTTCTGTTCATGTATATACCTCGGGTTATGTACATTGGTGCCCCGCAAGACGAATGCCTCGCAAGACGGAAAACCCGCTAGACGAAAGGGTTTTCCGTTTTTGAGTTGCTTCGCAAGACGAATTTCCCTATGGGCTTGCTTTGCAAGACGAAAAGTCTTGCTAGTCTTGCGATTCCCCCCCTTTTTTCTAAGCCGCTAAGCCGCTAAGCCTTTAATAGCCGCTAAGCCGCTAAACCGCTAATAGCGCTAATCCGCTAAGCCGCTAATAGGGTTGCTTCGCAAGACGAAAAAACCGCTAGACGAAGAGAATCGCGGAACGAATTCTTTTCGTCTTGCGAGGCACCACTGTACTTAATTCGTTCTGGAGGTCCGTTCTTAACCTGAAACTGTTCTTAACCTGAAGCACCACTTTAGCTAATGGGGCCTCCCACTGCTGCCGCGCCACCAGAGCACAATTTCTGTTCTCATCCTGAAGCAAATTTCTTAACCTGAGGTACTATTTCTGGGTTAGCATAGTCTGTAACCTGAAGTGTATGTAACCTGAAGCATATGTAACTTGAGGTACCACTGTAACTTGAAGTCTGCTGTAAATAATAAACACCTCTAAGTAACCAAGTTACTGGTAGCAGCATCTCCTTCCTGTCTGCAACTGATTGCTTCCGGAAGTCTGTGTATGCTCTGCTATGTTGAACTGGGTCTGGCTAAGATACTGCAACAGGTTAAAGTTGCGAAACACCAATAGGGCCATCCTCCCCCCATTTTCTTAATTTGAAGTCCCCCCAAATAGGGGGCGCATTATACACACAAAAAAATACAGTAGTTATCAAAGGTTGAGCATTTACCAGGGAGTTAGCCCCCCCCCTGAAAACGAGAGGACTTGCTTCTGAATAGATATGCACAGGCTTGCACAGTGAAATGTGCTGGGCAGTGGCGGAGTAAGCCACTTGGGGGCGGGGCCTCGGGAGTCTGCCTGCCTCCTCCCCCTCAGCAGCCCTACAGCTGGGGGGGGGGAGGCAGCAGGTGGACTGTTTGGGCAGCACGGAGCTTGCGCGCATCAGAGACACGTGTCTCGGGCGCGCTGCAGGCCCCGCTGTGAGTGGCGCCCGGCATTTTGTCACCCCCCTCAGTGGTAACACCCGGGGTGGACTGCCCCCACCGCACCCCCTTCCTCCGCCACTGCTGCCAGGACAACCAAGCAAAAGCCCACCCCTTACTCTCTTCATCTGGATTATTGTAACTCGCTCTATGTGGGGCTGCCCTTGAGACTGACCCAGAAACTCCAGCGGGTGCAGAATGCCGCGGCGAGACTCCTTAGGGGGTCCTTGCTGCGAGATCACATTCACTCGGTGCTATACCAGCTGCACTGGCTCCCGGTGGAGTACAGGATCAGGTTTAAGGTGCTGGTTTTAACCTTAAAGCCCTATACGGCCTAGGACCCTTGTACCTACGGGACCGCCTCTCCTGGTATGTCCCACAGAGGAATTTACGGTCTTCAAACAAAAACATCTTGAAGGTCCCAGGCCACAGAGAGGATAGGCTGGCCTCAACTGGAGCCAGGGATTTTTTGGCTGTGGCTCCGATCTGGTGGAACGCTCTGTAACAAGAGACTAGGGCCCTGCAGGACTTGACATCTTTCCGCAGGGCCTGCAAGACAGAGCTGTTCCACCAGGCCTTTGGCCAGGGCACAGCCTGACTCCCTCCTTTGGCAATCTTCACAGAACTCTAGTCCAATGGTTGCTATCAATTTGATTTGAATTAATTTTATAATGAAATGATTTTAGAATGTTGCATTATTTTATTGTTGTTAGCCGCCCTGAGCCCAGCTTCAGCTGGGGAGGGCGGGATATAAATAAAATTATTATTATTATTATTATTATTATTATTATTATTATTATCATCATCATCATCATCATCATCCAGCATCTGCTCCCAGTTCTCCCTTGTCCCTCAAAGCTACCGCCAGTCACAGCTCTGCCATTGATTAACAAACTCAAGTGCAGTCATACCTCGGGTTACAGACACTTCAAATCACTACCTGCGTGTGTGCAGACACGGCACTGCGGATTGCGAACGTGCATCCCACATTGATCACGTTCGCAACCTGAGCATCCACTGTACTTGAACTACAGCAGCCTATGTATCTTCACTTCTCACCATCATTCTGCCTTTACCGGGTTTGCTTGAAACAATTCTTTCTAGATGCTGCCCATTTTGTTCTTCATGTTCACAGCTCCCTTCCTCTTTTATCTTGTCCTCTTCTGATAGCTCTTGAACACCATTGCCCTATGACTGCGTTCATCTAAATTCTTTCCCCACTTGTCTTGAAGACCCTTTCCTCCTGATTGTGTTGTACACTAAAATTAACAAATGCTTCAGGTATGCGAAGCGCTTGGATTTCCCTACTGCTCCCACCCCAACTTTAACACCCATTAGGGTTAGCTCTTAAGGAGCTAACTTTTTAACAACAACCTCGGAAGGCCAGAAATGCAGGGCTTTTGCAAAATGCAGAGAAACTCGTAGTTCTTGCATGGACTCCGGTTGCAAAAGTCTGAAAAGCCCATAGGAATTGGGGTGTGTCCAAATAGCAATGCACATGTTTTATGAGTGTATAATATTGCTCTTTTTGATAATGGATTCATTCGTCTGGCAAATGTCTGAGGAAGCAACATGATAATCAAATACACAGTTTAAGGCTGTGAACAAACTGCCAGAACTGCAAGAGACAGGAAAATAGGTACTGGGCAATTAAAAAAAAAAAAAAGACTTAAAATTAAATTATTACAAGACTGGCTTAAAAGTTATCATCCATCTATATTTAAAATATAATACTGTGTTTGCTTTTCAAATCATCTAGCCAAAAAATACATATAGCTTTTCAAATAACAAATCATTGCATCTCTATAGTTAAATGGCTTGGCATCTTTACTTCACATAACTCTTACATAGTGGATGAAACACCTTTCTCTCTCTCTCTCCTCCTCTCTCTCTCTCTGTGTGTGTGTGTGTACATACTCTCTCTGTGTGTACACATGTTAAAGTTCTTAGAATTATATTTAGACAAGGAACTCTTATTTTTAAAGTACTGACACTGATACCAATATAGCAAAACAAAACATTTTGATATAAAACCAAAGTCTTCTGAAAACAAAACAACAATGTTCTTTTTAAAAGCACTTGAATATTTCCCAGCCAGCTGCAGAACTACTAATCTTTTCTCCAGCCATGTATAGAACAGTTAATATTTATACAAATATTGTAGAGATTTATTAGCATTGCAAAGTGATGTGAATTATTTGTTGACTTTCTCAGACCTATAGTTGAAAGAGTTTCCTTTGAATGATCACTTGGCTACAGATTTTAAATATTTTGGAAAGAGCCAGCTCCTGTCACTTTGTACCAATGACCTAAATTTCAACCTGGTTCCCAGCCTGTTGAATTTCCAGAGCTGGTGGCAACTTAGTCATAACTTTTCGATTCCTTTGACAAAGGAGATCCACCTGGTCTTTACTCATAGAACTAGAAGATGTTGCTGTACTTGAATATATGTTTTCTATGTTCTGAAAGTGGCAGGACTCTTGAGGGTAGGCATAACAAAAGCAAAGAATTCTTAAATGTCAGTCCTAAAATGCCAGTGTCTTGCAGAGAACACTGGGACCTAGTTCTCACAAACATCAGGTGATGAGGTGGTAAACCTTTGTCTGGATTGCACCACTTCTAAGACTGAATGCTCCTTCATTTATTTATTTTTAACAGAATATGTTCCACCCTAGCCTTTTCCCTGCCATGCCTAGTTTTAGGAATACAGTGGTACCTCTGGTTGTGAACGGGATCCATTCCGGAGCCCCGTTCGCAACATGAGCAGAACGCAACCCGCATCTGCGGGTCGCGATTCGCTGCTTCTGCGCATGATGTCATTTTGAGCGTCTGCGCATATGCGTGAGCGGCAACACGCGGAAGTAACCCTTTCCGGTACTTCCGGGTTGCTGCGGGACACAACCTGAAAAGATTTAACCTGAAGCAAACGTAACAAGAGGTATGACTGTACATGCATGTTCATGGGGAAGCAGTCCAGGACGTGAGCCTTCACCTGCAGACTAAAGAAGTGATGCTGTTAAGACAAAATACAGGCACCTCATCTGATGTTTGTGAGAACTAAGCCACAGGGGCTTGGACTAATTGACCCTATGGGTTGACTCTACACTTCAGAACATATCCAATAATCCCCTGTCATTATATTGCAGGAGAAGCTCTATAGTCACTGGCTAGGTGCTTTTCAAGGAAAGTCACCCTCCATTATTAATTTTTGTATTGAGGAACCTGGAAACAATGTTTAAGAACTAACGCTCTCTATAAACCTTAGCCTATATTCTTGACATGATTGGGAGCTACAGGAAATGCCGCTCCCCAGATCGTATGTTGATGCTGTATGTATATGAAGACATGCTAGTTACATACATTTGTAGGTTTTTATTGTGTGTGTCCTCGAGGATTAGCTTCCTTTCCATTATGCCTAGTGAAGACTATTGCCTAGATACCAATAATAGTTGGTCCGGTGTAAGTAATTGCTCTTTTGAATCACTTGCTCTTGCTACACATCCTATGCCAAACCAATTTTTGACATTGACTGTCTGGAAATGTGCCACATACTTACTCTGCCCATTTCTCGCAGTTTAGTAAGCATGACTACGATGGTTGAATTGTGCTCCCAAAGCATTCTCCAGAAATCTTCCGTTGTTTCTGCCAAAGGTCCCTGTGTAGCGATATAGGCTTTTTGTTGCCTAAGTTTAAAATACAAGGGCAAACATTTACCAATCCAAGCAAGTCAAAGACTCTCTTGTTGAATGTAAACATTCTGCTGAACCATCAACTCTAAGCCATGTACAGCTGTAAATTATTGAACGTAAGCACATTAAAAACATATTAAAGATTGTTTAATCAAACAATAGCATTGTTTTGTTTTTTTGGAAGTTTGTGGAAGAAATTGCACTGTTAATATTGTGATTTATGGCTTTATCTTATTTAAATTTTAATGCAAGTCTAATAGCTCAATTTTGTGAGTTGCAAAAAGCACTTAGGAAACACTTAGTGGTAAAGTTCCATTTTTGCATTCAAGGCTGGCTGTCACACAGTCTATTGAGCTTATGACTTATGGCTCCAAAGCACTTTTTGTTGTTGTTAACTCTTCTAATGATGCAAAAGTATCGGGAAAAGTTTTGAAGTCATGAAAAAAGGTGGGAATGTGGCAAGCTGGTTCATTTTCCAAGAAACATGGCCACACTTTCCCCTTCTACAAGTAGAAATCTGCTACTTGCCCACAAAGGCTCAGTCCACACATTTAGTATCTGCATAGTATCTTAAATAACCAGCTGTTGGAGTCCTACTGTTTGTAACAGTGCTGCATTTCTGTACCATCTGTTTGCTGCTTTACTGCCAGCATTTGAGAACAGTGAACTGAAACTTCCATATGTTAGTATCTTAACATGTATTATAGGAAAATCAATCTGTTATTGCTGTGACTTCCCATTTTCAGAAGCAGGCACATGATAATCAAGTAAAACTCTACATGACAGCAGTTTAGGGGAAAGGCCCTTTTGGTATTTTCCCTTTGTAATGGGGAACCCTTTGCAGTGCCTGCTCTGTCTACATTGCTCTGGCAGTGATGGGAAAAGATCTAGGCAAAGTATATCTCTTTTCTCCAATAGCATTAGCCTTACTGATAACGAAGCGATGCTAAAATGCAATGCAGAGAAAAAGCGACTCTCCCTATGAGAACAGACATTTGACTTCGCTGACTGGTACAGGTAAGGTAAAGGAACCCTGGACGGTTAAGTCCAGTCAAAGATGACTATGGGGTTGTGGCGCTCATCTCACTTTCAGGCCGAGGGAGCCGGCATTTGTCCACAGACCACTTTCCAGGTGATGTGGCCAGCATGGCTAAACTGCTTCTGGTGCAACGGACCACTGTGACAGAAACCAGAGTGCACGGAAACACTGTTTACCTTCCCACCACAGCGGTACCTACTTATCTACTTGCACTGGTGTGCTTTCAAACTGCTAGGTTGGCAGGAGCTGGGACAGAGCAACGGAAGCTCACTCCGTTGCGGGGATTTCAAACTGCTGACCTTCCGATCGGCAAGCCCAAGAGGCTCAGTGGTTTAGACCACAGCGCCACCCACGTCCCTCTACTGGTACAGGAAGAAACCGTGGTACTACAACGACTGCCACAATAGCAAGAAGAAACAGCTGCATAGCACATTGGGTTGTGTCCAACTGTGTTAGAGCAGACCCACTGAAATTGACCCACTTCTGTCGGTTGATAAAAACTTACTGAATTTGTAAAAAATAGCCTTTTTTCATTTTACCACACAGAAAAACACTGCCTTTTAGTACCTGTATCCATCGATAAAGCTGGCATTGATATAATCAGACCCTTCTACCCCTCTAATAGGCTGCAAACATATCCTTGTGGATTCATATGGCATAATATTAACAAGGCGATTTTTAAATTTATTACATGGAAGATTGGCACTGATGAATCTTGAAGTGTGAGCTTTAGAGCTGGCTAGCCGCTGTGGAGAGAGAGAAAGAGCATGATTTTGCAATTTAATCAGACCAAACCTTCTTATACAGATAATTTCCTATCACTTCTTCACACGGCACATTGTTAAACTATGGAACATGCTATCACAAGATGTTGCGGTGTTTCTGGCTGGGAAGGCTTTGAAAGGGGGTTAGAGAAATGAATTGATAGTAAGGCGATGTTGAACGCTACTAGCTAATGTGGATATGTACTAGCTTCAGGAGGTATGCTCCCAAACACCCTTTGCTGGGGTTGGGGAGTGAGAGGGGCTATTGAAACCTGTGGGCTTCAAACAGGAATCTGGTTAGCCATTGTGAGAACAGAATGCTGGACTGGACAGGCCTTTGCTCTGATCCTGTGGGGGGCATTCTTGTGTCCTTGTCCAATTGTTTGTTGAATCTCACATGCAAAAAAATTACATGTTTCAGAACCCTGCTTTAATGCAACACTAACTCTTTAGAAAACAAACTTATAAAGGTATATTTGGGGCTACCTTTGAAGCTGACCCGGAAACTGCAATTGATCCAGAATGCGGTAGCTAGACTGGTGACTGAGAGTGGCCGCCGGGACCACATAACACTGGTCCTGAGAGATCTGCATTGGCTCCCAGTACGTTTCAGAGCACAATTCAAAGTGTTGGTGCTGACCTTTAAAGCCCTAAACGGCCTCAGTTCTGTATTCCTGAAGGAGCGTCTCCACCCCCATCGTTCAGCCCAGACATTGAGATCCAGTGCCGAGGGCCTTCTGGCGGTTCCCTCATTGCAAGAAATGAGGTTACAGGGAACCAGGCAGAGGGCCTTCTCGGTAGTGGCCCCTGCCCTGTGGAATGCCCTTCCATCATATGTCAAGGAAATAAGCAGCTATCCTATTTTTAAAAGACCTCTGAAGGCAGCCCTGTTTAGGGAAGTTTTTAATATTTAATGCTGTATTGTTTTTAACACTCGATTGGGAGCTGCCCAGAGTGGCTGGGGAAACTCAGCCAGATGGGCAGGGTATAAATAATAACTTATTATTATTATACCCCCTAGCAGAACGACTAGAATTTAGACTCTGTTGCTAATCCTTCATAGGGAAATCTACCAAAGCACATGAACTCACCCTAGACCCATTTGGAATCAAGTCTAACTTCCCCCATCGCACCCTGGTTTTCAATGTACAGTTTTCAATGTAAAACTGTGCGGGGAAACCCCCGTTACGTACCTTAAATTCAAGTTCCATTCCTGTGACATTCTCTCCTGCTTCTATCTGTGTCAGCTTCTGAATATATGCATACAGGTTTCTGGCTGGCACTTCGGTATTTCCACATGTCACTGCTTCAAGCAGTGCATCGTGGATAAAGATGTATTGGTCCTCTGTTTGAACCATGTAATTCCTCTGGGCTCTCATTAGTGTTACGTGGCCATAAATATCTACAGTCTTTTCATGCTTTATTCTCTCCAGCATGGCATCTATTACAATGAAACAGCCGGTCCTGCCAACTCCAGCACTAGGGGAAGAAAAACAAAACACAAGATATGTGTAAGCGATAGAAACATTACGGTACGACATTTCTTGACATACTGTCATGGCAACATACATCATTGCAATTGATCCCGCTTTCCAGTGCCTTTTTCAGTAAAAACAAAAAAGGAAAAGGAAAAAAGCAAGGTGCTCATATCTTGATACAAGTGCTGTGTTTGTAAAAACTGACCACCATGGGCATTTTTTTCCCTTCCTCACATTGGTAAGTAAAGGTAAAGGTAAAGGTACCCCTGCCCGTACGGGCCAGTCTTGACAGACTCTAGGGTTGTGCGCTCATCTCACTCTAGAGGCCGGGAGCCAGCGCTGTCCGCAGACACTTCCGGGTCACGTGGCCAGCGTGACAAGCTGCATCTGGCGAGCATTGGTAAGTACCATCACACAAAAGCACTATTGCTTCCTAACATACATGCTGGTTCTGCTCATTTTTAGGGTATTTTTCGATAACCAGGTCCCCTTCTCAAATTACCTCAGTCAAGCGAGAATGTTTCCCTGTGATGAAAATCTGGGTTGGAAAGTTCCATGAAATTCAACCCATTCACCTCGTTCCAGCATGCAGTTGCTCATGGCACTACTGTTGAATCTCTCACAAAGAAGCAGCTCCCAACACTATGGAAGTACTATGAGGGAAAGCCCTTTGCTTGCAAGTGGCAATGAGTCATAGAATAATAGAAATGTAGAATTGGAAGGATGCAGAAAGCTGCAGAATTTTTCCAGCATGAAGAGGAACCAGCAGTAAGCACCCTTTGCATTTGGTCAGTCAAGCAGCTACAAATACACCTAACAGTAATCTCATCCAGCCCACATTTTACAAGCTTCTCTGCAAGAATATTACAGGGGACTTTGTCAAAAGCCGCACTGAGATCAAGATACACTATGTCCACAGCATTCCCCTTGTAATGCTGTCAGGGAGAGAGAGAGAGAGAGAGAGAGAGAGAGAGAGAGAGAGAGAGAGAGAGAGAGATTCGCCTGGCGTGACTTGTTTTTGAGAAACTCATGCTGGGTCTTAGTAACCACAGCATCCTCTTCTAAGTGCTTAAAGACCAACTGTTTAGTTAACTTGTTCGAGGACCTTTCCTGGTACTGATGTCAAGCTGACTGGTTGGTACTGACATACGTGTGTCATACGTTTGGAGGAAAACCTTAAACACATTGCAGAGTTCAGCAGAGCTCCCCCAAATAGACCAGAGGCAATAATACTTCATTCAGCTGAGCTTTACTTGTGCTGAAGGCAAATGAGCGTAATGGTTATCAAATCCAATACAATCAGGATTGGCTCAATCCATACAAAAATCTAGTTGCGTGTCGAGGTCCCCAAGCCACCCCCCAAATAACTCACAACACACACTTAATTTTTGTTTAAGGTTTTTGGCATAATTTTGGCCACAACTTTATTTAAATACAAAACCGTGAGTGGTTGTTTAGGCATTGGTTAAGACTATCTGTCCCCCCGCCTGGGGACAGAACTGACTTCCGGGCACCACCGAAAGACAGTGTGGGGGAAAGCAAGTCGGGGAGAAATGGAGCTGAGTCACAGACCCTCAATTCTCATCCACATGCTCCCCGAAGGCTTGCCGGCCCTAGTCCCATTCCAGGGATTGGACGAAAAGATGGCAAGCCGCAGGATTCCTTTAACGGAATTCCCTTTCCGCAGCAACCATGGAGGGGCAGGCCCAGCCTATCCTAACCCCTCCTCCACCAATTTATAACCAATGCCTAACCGCAACCTTACAAGTTGTGACGATTTGCTACGCAGTAGGCAAAAACCAAATGGCCCAGCCAATCAGCCAGATGGACAAAATTCCTACCAGGCCCCTGCCCCAACGGCAGACGACCCCATGACAGGCATAGCAAGGTCAATGCAACAACCCCTTACTCAAGGGCGGGTGATCCGTTGCACGCAGCAAAGTGAAAGCTCCAGGCTGCGTGCAGAGTATTTAAACATTTTACCCCTCCCACCAAAATTGCAACATAACTTTTACCCCAGCAATCCAGTGAGCCAATCACTGCCCCAGGCCATCTTTAGAGACCCTGCCTGGTAACAGAGGGGTGGCTCAGCAGACCCCATCACAACACGTGCTCTCCATGAAGGAGAACACGCTTTGCAGCACTTATTATAACTTAACTCATAATAAGACTAAACCTTAACACTAAAGCATCCTATGTACAGAAACATCACACCAAAAGAAAGAGAGAGAAAGAGAGAGAAAAGTAAAACTCAGGCTCCTTCTGGCCTATATTTATAGTCAGCATGACTCTGCAGAATAGAGACAAGAGAACTAGTTCAAAGCAGCTTCCCAGAAGGTATAACCCAAACAATCATTAACCCTCCTGCCTCTGCTTCTCTCACACAGAGAAGCTTCTAGTAGCTTCTAGAATTAATCAAAATAGGAAAGAATAGGAAAGATTTTTACACATGAGATCAATTTCTGCACTAAGAAATGCAAACTGACATGTGCTTCTCTCTGCCCCCCCCCCATTTTAAAGATGGGGACAACCTCCAGTCTGCAGGGACCTCCCATGTTCTCCAGGAATTCTCAAAGATTATAGACAGAGCCTCTGAGATCCATAAGCTCCTTTAGTACCCTTCAGCGCAGCTCACCAAGCCCTGGAGATCTGAATTCATTTAAAGTAGCTAGGTGTTCCCTTACCACCCTTTTTCCTATACAATGGTACCTTGGGTTACAAACACTTAACATTTAACACTTCAGGTTACAAACTCCACTAACCCAGAAGTAGTACCTTGGGTTAAGAACTTTACCTCAGGATGAGAACAGAAATTGCACGCCAGTGACACGGTGGAGCACGAGGCCCCATTAGCTAAAGTGGTACTTCAGGTTAAGAACGCACCTCCGGAATGAATTAAGTTCGTAACCAGAGGTACCACTGTATTGGGCTGCAGCTCCCTCCTTTTATCATATGTTCTATTATCACCAGGTTGGGCACTGCTGTCCTTTCGGGTGAAGACAGAGGCAAAGTAGGTGTTGAGCAGTTCCACCTTCTCTCTGTCAGCCAATAGCATTTCTCCATCTTCTCCACGCAGAGAACCTCCTACTTGCTTGTTCTTCTTCTTCTTCTTGCTTCAAACATAGTTGAAGAAACATTTTTAAAAAATATTTTTAACCTCTCTTGCAAGCCTGAGCTCATTCTGAGCTGTAGCCCACCTGACATTCACCCTGCAACTGTTGGCTACTTGTGTATACTATTCCTTTATGATTTCCCGTTTTCCATTTCTTATGCTTAAATCACATCTGTAAGCTCCTTAAGCATTTGTGCCTTCAATATTTCACCTTTAAGGAACTCCCATCCATCTTGGACTCCATTTTCTTTGAGTATCTCTGACCATTCAGTTTCACCCAGTAGTTCCTTGAGCTTTTTGAAACCAGCCTTCTTAAAGTGTAGGGTGCATGTCTGACTACACTCATTTTTACATTGCTTTTGTATCAAGAAACCCAAGAGGACACGATCACTTCCTCCCAAGGGTCTCAATACTTCTTGGTCAATCAGTTTCTCTCTGTTGGTGAGAACCAAGTCCCCTTGCTGCTGCTTCCACCTTCTGCAAAATGAAATTGTCAGCGAGGCAATGGAGGGGTTTGCTGGACCTTTCATTCTTGGCAGAATTTGAGTTCCAACAGATATTGTGGTAGCTGAAGTCTCCCATGACTACTTTATCTCTCCTTCTTGAGTGGTAATTTGCTGTAGGAAGGCATCATCCAAGTCTTCAGCCTGGCTTGGGGGTTTATAGCAGACACTCACAGTAAGATCTCTCTCCTACATTTTTTACCCATATACAGTGGTACCTCAGGTTACAAACCTTCGGGTTACGTGTTTTCAGGTTGCGGACCATGGGAAACCCGGAAGTACCAGAAAGGGTTACTTCCGGGTTTCACTGCTCGCGCATGCGCAGAAGTGCCAAATTGCATCACACGCGTGCGCAGATGAGACGGTGCAGGTTATGAACGCTGCAGGTTGCGGACGTGTCTCCATCACAGATTACATCCACAACCCGAGGTTCCACTGTACTCTCAATCTGCCTTTCATGTTGTGGATTTCTTCACAAGTGTACACATCCTTTACATATAATGCGACTCCCCTTCCCTTCCTGTTTGGTCGACTCCTTCTTAACAGAGTATACCCCTCCATTTCTACATTCCAGTCAGAAGTCTCATCCTACTAGGTGTCAGTAGTGTCTATTAGGTCCTATTTGCTACCCTATATTAAGAGCTCAGATTGGTCTTGCTTGTTTCCCATACTCTGTGCATGAGTACAGAGACAAGTGAAACCATGAGTCATTCCCGCCAGCTGCTTCCTTCTTGCAGTTTCCTGCCCTTTAGCAGGTTTCTGGAGCACCACCTCAGTTTCCTGTGCCTCAATGAAGCTATTCTCCACGGTAATATTGTTTCCATCCCACTAAGGATTTAGTTTTACACTAATTGGTATATTAATGTATTTTCCACTTTACCACACATTGCAGGTTTTACTCCAATTAACTAAATAAAACCTAAAGAGACTGAAATATTTGATTCACACTACTGCTGTTGTCCGACACTGCAACAATTGCTTCCTGGGCTCAGGGCATGTATTTGGTGCCCTGAGCACTGGGCCTTTTTGAATCTTTCATGAGATTCAGTTGCATGAAAATCTTGAAAAGGGGTGAAAATAAATATGTGTTTGAGAGACTGGGAGAAATGCAGAATATCTGAAAAGATGCTACATAGACACAACATCACCAGGCAAAGAGATGAAACCAGGATCACATGATCCATGATACTCCAAGGGGCTCTCCAATCACCTTTATTAGTTGGCTTCCCTGCAACATGCTGGAGGCTGAAATCCACAGCACAGGAATGTGGCTTTATTACAATTTTCTTCAAAAGTGGTCAATTTAAATCCCACTTTTTATTAAAGTAGGAAAAGCCTCTTTTGCATCTGTGATAATAACATCCCTTAAACCAGCTAAACCTGCAA